ACCCTTGTGCTGATGAAGGTGACTTGGGAAGCAGTGTAATCGTTGGTGAGGAGATGGAGAGTGGGATTACAGTCTCCTTGATTGCGGCCCCTCCCTTCAGAGAGTGCCCGCCCCAATCCCTCGCAGTGGAGCGAGAAGCACGTTTCATATCAGGGAAGGAATTAATGGATCCTGTTGACACAGAGGCTGGTGACTGGCTGGGGGTCGAGCTGCGCCCTCATTGCCTCTCCCAGCTCGCTTGCTCCTGTCTGGGTCTCTCTCTCTTTCCCTGGGTCTGTCTGGCCTGCTTGAGCCGTGAAAGCAGGGAGCAGGAGCCGAGGGACACAGTGAGAGGGTCACTCCAGCAGCGCCGGAAAATTCAGACAGCCAATCGAAACAGAAACTGCCACTGTGTGGTAATTAGGCTTGCAAATTGAGACTAGTTAACAGATACTTATTTTTTAAAGCACAAAGTATATTTCAGCCAATAACGATCACCAAGGGCTCTACAGTGTTTTAATCCTAGAAGTGACAAACAGGGAAAAATGGGGGAACATTTAATTCAACTTCCCTTCACACTTATACCTTTAACTACTTGCACTTCCTGCTTAAGTGTAAACAAGAGGTACACCTGAGCAATTTAATTGAAGTCAAAATAAGGTAATTAATACAATAATGAAGTGGAGGTTTTTTCGAAAACCAACATGAAACAGTTTTGCAAACATCATTAAAAGCATTAACTGAATACCTGTTATGACCTTGAAAATATCACTTTCTTTGACATTCTTCTAACTAACACACATTAAGAACACCTTTCAAAAACTTTAAGCTAAAGGTGGCAGTTTGACCCGTCTTGCTTATTTGGTTGCTAGTAGCTAATTGCTACCAGAATTCTATCCAGCTGTTTTGTGAAAGAATCAGTTTCATTAACACAGCTGGGTAACTTGTGTGCAGCAGTGGCTCCTGTTTTTCTCTCTTCTCAATTTTCGCTTTTTCCCCTGGGATCGTAGTCCTGATGTAGAATCTGATCTGAACTTGAAGCTGATCGGAACCTCAAGCCCAGGCTTGTTTGAAAAACAAGCAAACCCCCATGCCCCATGAAATCTGTGTATACAGTTCATGGATTATAAACCATAGGTATTAGGATATTCAGTGCATAGTACATTTAAGCAGGGAGCTGTTTCAGCACGCGTAAGCTGCAATGGGACGGGTAAAGTTTTATTCCATGCCAAAAGGAAAAGAAAAGAGACAACATTTCATCTGCGGAGCCTTCTTAAAGTGCGAAGACCTAATCCAACAGAAATACTGTCTTGAACTCAAGACGGTTTTGGTGATAAATATTATTTTCTTGTTAACTCTGCATGCAGGCCACAATTGAACATTTCTGAGGTAAAATGTCTGCTGCACACTCTGTACTAGTGACTAGTGAGCAGGAAAAGCAACTTCATGTCACAAGTCTCGCGAACTCCCGAACACATGGAGACTATACAGTGCTTTCATAAAGTTCACAGTTTTGCATTTAATTATGAAATTGTGAGATACTGATACCAATTAATCTATAGTTTTACCAAGATTTAATAACCGGTCTGAGAAATTGAGACTTCAGTTTCCCATTAAGGAGAAATTGCACTGAAGCAAGGATTTCAATCGCCAGTTGCCTGAAGAACTGTACTTATAAGAGATGATTTTCAGCACTTAACAATCAGTGTTATAAATTAACTGCAACCATAAATGTATTCCATTCCCTTCATTAGAAGCCCGAATTCAAATAATCAAATGTGTGGTCTAACTTGGCTTATTTCACCATTTTTTTGCTGTTCTCTTTTCATTCAGCGAATTCCAGTCTTTGGCAAGACAAAGTCTTTACCCACTTTTCTCGGAAGTGCTAGGGTTATTCAAAGACCTCTCCTGTATAACATGGGGCCAGCAGGTCTACTAAATGCTAAGTAGTGCAATTAAAATGAGAAGCACCAGGGGTCTTGGGGGCTAATTTGCCCCTGTCACATAAGGCGAGCAGACACCAGCTCCTGACTCCAAAAAACCCTGAGTCGCCTTCATTATAACCTGTGCCTCAGTGCCAGCATGCAAACTGCTCTGTTCCCAGGTGCAATGCTGTAATGAGGATATAAACTATTAGTGTGGAAAAAAATACAGGGATAATTGCGGTTAGTGATGTCACAGCCATCGCTGGTGTGAATATGGGCTAGGTGTGTGGTATCTTCTCTGTGTACAGGGAAAGAGGTGAGCCTGTAGAGGCAATTGCTTTCAGCTGTGTTTCAGAGTGACTGCTTCCACAGGGAACCTGGGTCGCCTTGCAGATAGTTCAAGCAGAATCATCAGGTGCCTTTAAGAATAAACTGAAATAAAAGGTGTGACCAATTTTTAAAGTTTGCTGCAAGAAGAGCCACCAAAGGGTGTGGATTTGCACAACAATGTCTTATACAGCAAAACCCACTGTATGGAACAATGAAAGCACTAGTGAGGAAACCAGGCTGATTTAGTGTTATCATCTGTCTTCGAGTGAAAAGCTACTTAAAGTTTTATTTTTGCTTTCTTTTACAGGCGGTAAGAGGACACAAGATCATAAAAAAGCCATTTGGACCACCTTCCTTGCCTTGCCCAGCCCCTGGCGCATTATTGATCCAAGAATGAATCCAGGTTTCTGGTAAAATACATTTAATTTAAAGTACTGTGTTTGCAGTTCATTTTCTTTTCTTTTATATAGTTCTGATTTCCAATTTCAACTCAGGGCAGTTAAATCATGATAATAATGATTGTGAAAGTCATCCCTGCAGAATGCTGCACTGGATGAGGTGCTGCTGTCTCTACTACTTTTAAAGTCTCTGCTCTTGTTACAATTAAGCATCTCAGCTTGGCACTCTGTTTTCCATTATTTAGGTTCCAGTTTTCAGAATGTCTTTAAGAAGCTCCCACTAATAGACTATCCACTTTTTCCACTATCCACTGAAATAAAAGAGAAGATGACTGGGGCCATTCTAAGAATGGACTTATTCTCAGGAGATTTTATGAAAAGAGCCATTTGGGAGACCCTTTGCCAATTTATATCTAATTGCCAGCATGGCTTTACCAAGACAGAACAACACTGGACTGTAACTACATCCCTTCCCTCTCCCTTACCCCTCTTTTTTAACTGCCTGTCATTATACTGATAAGTGAGCCAGCCCTGCTGTCTGTGAATTATTGCAGCAAGATTTAAAAAGGAATCCTTATTGTAACGCTCAATTACACTGACACACAAGCACTGAAATGTTAATTTACTGTACAAGTCTTCATTTCTGCCAGTATGAAGAGCATGGAAAAGAGAAGCTCTTTTAAGTAACCTGCTTTAAAGTGACAGTGCAGTGTTCAGGAAAAGCGAACATTTAAAAATGCTAATGAAAGGGAGGGGGTACCATTACAAAGCAACAAATTGGAAACGCTACATTTAACTTCACAATCATTGCCAATCATAACGACTGTGGAGCACTGAAAGAACCTCAATCAGTCACACAAATGTTATCTTTAAGGCCTATTTTGAAGGCCCTTATTAAGTTTGTTAGAGTGTCCTGTAATTTCACAATTCACATTTTTAATGTGCCTTAAACCTGTAGCTCAATAAACTCTTTATCACAACTCAAAGCTCATTCTCAACCGATCCATTTTACATCTCATTAATGTTATTTAGTAAATGTATACTACTATGTTGAACAGAGCTTGTTTTTTTAAAGATTTCAAGAACCTTGTAAATTAAATGTACCATTTTAAAAAGTCATATCTTAACATTGTCAACAAAAGGCTCAATGACCAGTGTTTTAAACATTCTCTAACAGAACCTCCTGTGGCCAGAAACCCAAATTTACTTGCTCGGCTTTACCTGGGTTCCATCAACAGCGGGAGCACAAATCCACTTAAATGTGAGCATCCACAAGCACTTCACTCGTGAGTGCCTCACCAGTGACAGAACATACCTTCTTGAAACTGATTTGAGTTAAACCACTTTTTAAATTTTTAATTGTTTTTTAAATTGGATATATAGCTTAATGTCTTGAAACTCAAATGAAACAGATAACGAGATATAACTCCACTAAAACAGATAATTTTGGAGATGCTTCTCTGAAAAGACAAAATACTAAATAAAGCTAAATCTTGTAGATTGGCTCTAGTGCCCTTGTTCAAATTGACCAGCAGGCATCTGCACTTTCACACATTCATTGAGGTAGATCAGTGTTGTTTTCATAGACATCATCATGGGAAGTATTCTGACGTTTTGTTTTCTGCCCCAGCTGAATTCTTAAATTACTCTGGGGAATCAGATTATTTTAATTAAACTGTTTGCTTGATTGCCTTTTTACAAAAAAATATTTTTTCAAGCTCTCAAGCAATGGCTAGATCCAACATGCTGTCCCAGGAACAGATTTCTGGAACTAAGGAAACCAGATGCATGAAGAATCAAGGATTTTCTTATTAAGGGAGTGTCTGACAGACAAACGTCCAGCACAGTCTGTAGGTCCTAGACAGGTTAACTGTCAAGAGCTGTTTATATATCCCACAGGGAAATTATTTATTTTGCCAGCTGTGGGCATGGTGAAAAAGTCTGATTGCAATGTTTTTGGACACCACATACTTGTACTTAAATGTGTAAATATAAGGACATATATAAATATAAGCACTTGGCATATAAAACAACAAGCCTCATGAATGAGAAGCTCAACTGCAGTAAAACAACAGAATGAAAGATCTGGACGACCCCGACTGAGTAACACTAATGTACTTCAGTATGGCAAAGAATCTCAAAGAAGAAAGAAACTCCAGTTGAACCCGTTGCAGTACACAGTATTGAGTGAGTGAGGTCAGAGCTAAAGAAGGATCCAGACACCTTTCTGTGGCATCCCAAAACAGCTGGACCCAGGAACATGGCTGTCAGTTTCATTTCTCCTCCAGGTAAAGGGTGGAAAGGAAATGATCACGAAAGGTCAGACTGTGACTGGTGCCCGTCACCAGAGTTAGAGTTGGTCACTCACCTGCCCCCTTTGTCACCACCAGTTTCGGTTTGCTACGGGCGCCGTCCCCTTTCGTGGTGTAGGCTGCCACAGTGATGGAGTAAGTGGTGTCGGGTTGAAGCCCAGCAATGATCATTTCCTTTTGAGACAACAAAGACCACTGTCACTGGAGAGCTTGGCCCTCACTACAGTAATGAACCATGATTTGATGGGACATCTTTCCTACAGCAGGTTGATTCAAAGAGAACATAGTTGAAAAAATATTCAATAATTGGAGTGACTGATAAACCCAACCAGTTCAGAATATCTGCCACAGTTACAGCAATAGTTACTCTTAAGGATAATACATAATCTGTTTATTTATCTCTCTGTGCATGCATACTGAGGGGGGACATAAATTAAGGCATAATGCTGAAAAAGTGTCCTATATTTCCAGTGCTTAATTTTGTCAAATGGCATTCCTTTATAATAGTATTGACTGGCCGATTCTGTTCCCCAGTTAGAAACACTTCAGCTCTGCCAGTGGGGAAACATGGCAGCGCCTTCCACTCAACTTCTCAGCTGCCGAATGTTCTGCCTCATCAAATGCTCAAGCACAGTTTACAGGTGATGCCAATGATTCAGCCCTGAGCTCGTTTAATGAGCATTTCAGGCCTGCAGTTAACCAACTGATATGCCTGTATAAGACTGTGCATTTATTCAGCCAACGGGTGAACCCATCAATATTCATATAAACAAAATGTATGTCTGAGATGTATGTAGAGTACAATTACAAGGGGCAACAACATTAAGCAATTATGTCTATTAAGGATTGAAAACCACCCCACACCCAGAAGGCAATTAATAAAGTATGTTTTGTGAAATTGGGAGCCAAAGACACAAGGAATGTTAAATGCCTGTTAAAATGAGGCATGTTATTGTTGTATTGTTCTTAAATAAACACTGAAAATGAAGAACACTGCAAAAAATGTCAGGAATCAAGCAATTCCTTTCACTTACAACATGCTTGAATCCCAATTCTAAAGAAAAGTAAAGAGATACTATTACCTAGTCCTGTTTTACTTTAAATGGGTAGAGGAAAAACATACAGGGAATATCAATGAATGCAACAGTTAGAAAACAGGTAAAAAATGGGATTCCGTTTTCTGGAAGGGATTTTGTTACAGACATACTCTTTGGCTTAAAATACATTAGATTACATTGGAAGAAAACAAATCAAAAACAGACAATCACCACACTGATATACTGGAAACACAAAAGTACCACAAAGTCCTATGTGAAAGTGACCCATGGATATTGCATCCTATAATAAATGTTCTTTTCCATAATTTATTTCAGCGCTCAATTGCTATTTATGGCATTTGCAGTTAACAGAGTGTAGAAAAGAATACAAATAAGAGGAAGTATTTTCTTCAATGTTGTGTGAACACCTCTGAACTTCTGTCACCACCCCTGATCCCTAGAACACATTAATAACTACTCTTGCAATTGTTCCACAGTTCATCTTACACTGTTCTCCAATTGCAAAGGTGGAGTTCAAGGTCCTTGAAATCATTGCAACACAAATAATGTGAGAGTTTCACAGCAGTGCATGGTATTTAAACCCATTTCATTAATAGGTAAAAAATGCATGAAGTACTCTCTGTAAACTAATGGGATGTTAACTAACTTAGTTTGGTCTTTTGTAGTGGCTTTGCAGACTGACATGGTTAAAATGTGTTCCCATGCAAAACAGAACTTAGTTTACAAAAGCACTACGGAGATCAATTAATGAAAAAACTGCCAGTGCTTTCCTGCAACATGATATTAAGACTCAAAACTAAAAAAAAAGACTCAAAACTAGGAAATGTAAATGGGAAAAGCAATAAAAAGAGAAAAAAAAGATTGTCTAGAAATTCATGTTCCAATTAAAACAAACAAAGAACAATTTGTACCTAAGCCGATTTCAATAATAATGAAGAGAACAGAAAAGAACAGAATGAAACAGATTTTGCATTGATTTTGGACTGGATTGCATTATATTGCTACATAAATATCATATTGAGTATTGAACTTTTTACCTAATTTCCCTAAACAAAAACAAGAGCAGGGGATACAGTATCCATGTTCACCACAGTAAGACCACACTCAGCACACAATACTTACATATTCAGCTGTATCATCGGTTTCCCACTAACCCAAAAGGGAGAGTGGGTGAAGCAAAAAAAGGAAAGAGAGGAGAGAGTGAATATGAGAATTACCAGGAGTGGTGATCTGTGACCACAGGGTCCTGAGGTCAGGCACAGGTAAGCCAAAAATAAAAAAAACAAGGAATGGGAATTTGACAAAATCCCATGTTAGGAAAGATGTGAATATGAAACGGTTAGAGAGGAGGTTTGGATATTTAATTTTTATATGTAAAGGAATTGCTCTGTTGGCTATTAGCAAGAAATTAAGCAATAAAACAACATGAAAACATATGAAACTGTTGTTTAACACCCATTTGTCTTGAGCAAACTAGTTGTTTTCAGGTAGAATTCAAGGCATCTTGGAGGCATCAACAAGACACCGTTTGTCCTGGAGGAAATCCACGACGGCCCAGGGGCTGCTCTCCTCTGAAAGGGACCCCAATCCACTGAAGGACCACAGAGGAAGGGGAGGTTTAGAAATTTCCAATGAAACCTTCTCTGTTGGCATTCCCGGAGATGGGAGAAAGCTGGAACACCCAAGAACAGCTAACGCAAACGCACGGGGAACATGCAAACTCCACCCTGATGTGTGCTCAAGGATGAAATCAAGCAGGAGCGCGGATGCCCCTTCTGGCAGGATAAGATTTCTGCCTTTACTGTGCTCAACCCACTGCTCCTAGACAAGTCCTCCTCCCTTCACTCCGCCTACCTGGGCGTCTGCCAGCATGACATCCTTGATGAGGGGCAGTCCTCGAGATTCACCGTTCTCTACCCGCACGTAGTGCACCTGGTACCCCCGGATCTGTCCGTGCTGGCGCCCAGGCTGCAGCGAGCGCCACGTGACCTTCAGGGCAGTCGAATTGATCACCTCCACCTCCACCTTGCGAGGGGGAGCTCCCGGCACTGTGGACGTAAACAGCCTTTCAGACTCCAGAGCACAGGCTGGGTTAAACACGTTCACCACAGTCCCAGGCAAATCTGAAGGACTCCAATTGAGATCTCGAATGGCAATCAGCTACAAATTTCTTAAAAGAAACTAAACTATTTTAAATGGATAATAGATCCCAACAACTACAAAAAGTAATGCAGTAATTAGAAGAAGAATGTTCTTATTATTTTTTTTAATAAGGCTATTAACATGCTGACACCTAGTCATGTATTAAAAAATATGCTAATCTCATTACAGAAGTAGTCAGGTTAATTGCTACCCAATTTTAACTGTTTACCACTATATAGCATTTAAATTCAGCTTTCCTCATTTAAACCTGCTATAAAATTTCCATGGAGCCAAGAAGCTCAGATGTCTAGCTCCTGACTGGAAGGTCCCAGGTAGGGCAAGCAATGTAGCTCTAATTCCGTGCAGACGGCTCCAAGGTACACTCAGGCTGCTTTGAAGATGAGTACTGGGGGTTAATCCTTCTGGGGGTCATGGCCGGCTGGAGTGTGATGCTGACCATGTCACCTCCACCTCCAGTGTCAGATGGTTGAGAAAATGCTGGCCCTTGCACCCCATGGACTTTTATGGCTTAAAAAGGACCTACCTACAGTATAAAAGTTCCTTTAATTGATACACAGCCCTGGGTTGCTATTATACAGTACATACAGACCAGGGCCCCTCTCAGTTATACTGTGCTTAAGACAAGTGGACTGTGCCAAGTGCCCCTTAGACTCCACACAGCAAGTTCATATAGTTGAGATACAGTATTACCTATACTGTATGTCTCATGAAACAGGGGAACACTTAATGAAACTCTTGAGAGCGCCACGTGCTTAATGCTATTCATGAGAACAGAACATCAAAATAGAAGGAATTTTTCATTTTGTTCAGAAAAACCAGGAGTGTTATTTCAGCTTTAGTGGTTTTGATTTTATTTTGAAACTACAGAAATAAATGGCACTACTTTACTTTAAAAAAAAAAGAAAATGTCTTTCATTTGTACTGCAAAGACAAAAAGCACAGCTATAGACCTTCTTAACTTACTGAAAGTCACAATACAAAAAATGACAAATTCCTAATGCAAGAAATTGTAAAGGGTTAACCTCTTATCACCAACGGCACAGCTAACGCACTGGGTACAGGATTTAACATTTCGCCACACACAGGGATTCCTGTCTCTCTCCAAGCCAGTAAGTGACTTTAGAACCACCCAACCTCAGCTCTGCTATGCAAAAATGTCTATTGCTTTTATGGGTTTTCTACTAAAGCACCTGAATCCGTAATTATTACTGCACGGGGCTCTACCTACTTTGTTTACTCACTTAAGGGTCTACAAATCTACTAATCACGTCTTTAATGCAAAAGTCTACCATGTAAATTCAAAAGCACTTCCAACAACTCTAGATAAGATAAAGTTTAAGACAAAAGATGGGTCAAACAGCCTTCACTTTTCTTAAATGTTATTCACTTCAAAACTGATAGCAGCTTTTGAGTTTAAGGTGCACATAACCATCCACATTTTACTTTCAATAAAAACTTTCAAGACTCTACAAGAAGTTTCTGGCTTAATATGCTTCTGGTGTTATGATCTATTGCTCACAAAAGCATGTTGGTCTTGAATGACTTAACCTCTTTCACAACTTTCTTCTGAGCTTCTGAACAGCATTTTTTTCCCTTCCAAAATAATACATTAAAATATTTCGAATGAAGTGTGGTATTGTATAAAACACAGCACAGTGCTGCAGTGTTAAGTATTGCTATCACCAAGCTGGGGCCCTGGGCTCAAGTACAGACTCGGGGTGCTGTCTGCATAGAGTCCTCCCTGTGTTTGTGTGGGTTTCCTCCAGGTGCTCTGGTTTCCACCCACAGTACAAAAATAGACTGGTAACTTAACTGGCTTCTGGGAAAACCTGAATGTGTCTGTTTGTTTCTGTCTGCCCCATGACAGACTGGTGTCCCGTCTATCAGAGGGCAGACAGACACACTCTGTATCCTGCCTTGGGCCAGAACAATTATGTTTTGGCCCCTTGGTGACAATATACTCTATATAGTGTAGCTCAGAAACTCCTTTTCATAGTGAAAAGACAAACTGGTCAAAGCAGGGAAGTGGGGAGAAGTTGAGTTATACTTTAATTATTGCCTCAAGGACAGGCCTTGCAGAGACGTCCAAGGGGTGCTGGACCAATGAAATTATTTTTTTTTTGGAGGTTTGATGGCCATAGTCTCTGAGCCCCCTCTGAGGATGAAGCCCACAGAGGATTCCAAGAAGCCACCAGCCAGTACTGCTTTAATAACAAACATATAAATCAATCTACTCTTTGCAAGAGAAAAATAAAGATAAGGCACACCAAAATGTCAGTCCTTATTTTCTTCTTGATCAAAAAGCCCTTGCCTTTTCAGCATGTGCTCCCTATCTCAATATTTGCAGAAGTCCCAGATAAATGGCAACTGTTGAGCTAAGGGTGGCATTCGGTTTGCTGCAACTCTTGTTGTAGGCTATCAGCAGGCACATCAAGGCTGGTTCTCATGTAAGCAGCCAAACAGCCTTGTGATTGGTGTTTTTTCAACATCGCCTCAGACCTGAAATAATTTAACTCAAAAACGGAGAGGAAAGCCTTTGCTTTGAACACTTTCTTTAACTGATCCCAAGCACTATTACATACTGCTCTTAATTCATACTGTATATCACTTGTCTACAGTACCAACTAGCTCTCAATGAGGTGCTCGCCAAGTCTAGTGCATGCTAGAAGGCCAAAAATCTTTCATGAACAGGTGAGCAAAAAGAAAGACTGAATCATGTCAATGACAGTGATGAACACATTAAAGAACTCAGGTGGTTCTCCTGGACTTAAGAGTTTAATATGCAGTTTTTTTAAGGCTTTGAATTATGGGACCTGATACAGCAAATCCGTTTTTATTAAATGCTAAAATTATATATTTTTCCTGTTGTGATCTGAGGTGGCTTTCATTTAATAATGAACCTACAGATACACACAAAACAGCCAATCTATCGATAGTTGCCACCTTAAACTAAGAAGCTCCCCAACCTCTGGTCTGCCTGATAGCAGTCCTCATGGCAACTGAATGTTCTGCCTCAAACTGCCTGGCTATTATAGGACCAGATTGCTCCTTCAGAAGCAGATACCCACATCCTATATTTCAATATTGAAAAATAAAAGAGCAGCATTAGAAATGTCCCGGACAAACTTTACTTTAAGAGTGCGCGAAATAAATGAAACTGATGAATGTCCTATTTGTGCTGAAAGCAAAAGAGTTTCTCTTAAGCTTCAAAAGATTTTCAAAAGACCTCAATGCAGACAATTTAAAGGACTGTTTCAAAAAGGCCTTTATTAACTTTATATGTTTGACACTGGGGTATGCCATCTGGCCAGACAAACACTGTAAAAAAAAAACAGTTTATGACCTTCACTAAAAGTGAATATAAGGAGATGTAGAACATAATATTATAAGTGTAAAGATCTGTATATTGAATTTTCTATTCTCTTAGGTTGCCTAGCACAATGTGCAGTTTTCAAAGATAAGAATGGCTGTTTATGCTTTTTTGGGGCGTTGGCACTTACAGATGTCTAAAAATACACCTGATAGCACACACCACGTCATCTGCCTACTCGTATCTGTGGAAGGAGGCGGCTCGAGTTCAGTACCGTCTTCGTCTGTCCGGATGGTGACGGGCTCGCTCTCCGGGCCGGGCCCCACGGAGGTGTAGGCCACCACAGAGACCCGGTACTGCGTCCACTTCTCCAGCCCTTCCAGCAGAACTTGACTGGTCGAGGGGGGGATGTCGGTCACTTCCTTGGGGTTGCTGTCCTCTCCTCCCACAGCCTGGTAACGCACGCTATACCCCGCAAGGGCGCCATTCTGGCTGTCCGCTGGGGGCGGGCGCCAACTTACCAGTATGGTGGTGGAGCTGGAGCTGGAGCACTTAATGTCTTGAGGGGGGGCGGAGGGCTCTGGTCAGGAGGGAGGAAAATTGGGTGGGAGGGTGAAAAAAACAAAAAACAAAAAAAGATGGGAGAGATAAAGAAAATGATAAAAAAAAACTAAAGGAAAAAAATACCAAAAAGCTGGAGTCTGACTTAGGACAAATGAAAAAAAATGAAAGGGGACAATAAATTAATAATAATAATAATAATAATTGGAGCCCATATAACTGGGTTTTTAAATTATACAGGTATTAGTTTATGGGGGTTGTGAAATTTTACTGTGACAGAAAGAAACATCCATTGCCCCGAGAGGAGGAACTAATAAAAACAGAGAAGTGTGTCTGAAAACAATATCAACACTCAGTCCCTGTCTGTAGGGTCCTAGAGAAAGAGGCAGGAGCCACACTGTCTTTAAATCAATTATCCACTGGGTAGCAGGCGCACTGTCCCTAGCGTTCGTCATCAGCTGCCCTCCATCCTCATCTATGGCTTCAGAGGACTTCACAGGAGCGTCCTGACAGGAATTCAGACAGTCCATTTATTTCAGACTTTCCTTTTCTCACTTCTCCTTTAATTCAAATATCTTCTACGGAACCCATCATGTCCAGTGACTGTTTGTATGGCCCCACTGCACTTTTTCACTCTGTTCTTACAGTACACTCATTGCCTGCTTCTTCTCTGCCATTCGCTCAACACTCACAGATCCCTCCTTTGTGTTTGTTGTCAAACAGAGCCACTCTTTACATAATTCTACCTCAGGTAATGACAGCAGTCCCACCTGTGGTCTGAGTTTGAGCATTAATGCCAGCTTCATAGTGTCAACAACAGAAGCTTAATTTGTCTGTGTCTTCTATCTTAAAGCCTTGGACCAAGCTTACTTTCTCAAACACTCAATGTTTCTCCTGGTCACATTCAGCTTCTGCAGGTGTCCTAACCGTGGCAACAAGGTCAGGCGTCCTACTTGACGTGATGACGTCAATTTGCTCTATACTCGAATAAAGTCCTTTTCACACGCAGCAGGTTATTTTTTGGCGTACTGCTCTTTAAATGCTTATAAAGGTTCACTATTGTCCCTCTGAAAACACTCTGATTTTACATAGTATGAAATGAGTGAATCTCTGGACCCGATTTAATGGTTTATTTGAATTAATCATTGTTATTCACTATATTAATAACAACAAATTGCCGTTTTATTTTGATATTATAAACTTTAAGGTAATATATGTAAAGGTTTAAGTTGTTTAATCATTATGGTTGAACTTGTTGCCTTTTTGTACATACATCAAACTTTATATTATTATTATTATTATTATTATTATTTTCTAATAATGAATTCAAATAAAAGATAAAATAAATTCAGGACTCCAGTGAAAAGTAAAGTAAATTAAACTTTAACATCAGCAACAACACAAAATCATAGACATTCATTGGAAAAAAAATGAAACAAACTGGGAATTTGGCACATTAATTTAATTGCAACTGAAATAAACTGAAGGAAAGAAAATGTTAAGTAAATAGGAAATGAATAACAATAATAATTAAAAGAAATAAAATAAACACAAACAATTTCTGCATTTATACGTACCTGGCTTTCTTCAAATACTAACTAATGACTTTCTTACCAGAAGCTACCAAACGCAAAGATGCATTTGGTCTTTTTTTAACCCTTTCCCTCTCGGGCCTGTGTACTGTACTCCTAAAAACTACAGTAAGCCAATCTGTCCCGCAGCTACTTTTGGAAATTACAGATTCTTACCCAAAAATCTTGGTTAAGAAAGCTAATTGAATGTTTCCATTTTTATTTTATTCCAGCTGTTTAGAGGGAGAGGGTTGAAAATGCTTTTGTCCAGAGTGTCCACAAGCCAGTGATTATGGGCTGTTCTAATGGTAGGTGAAAAATCTACTGCTAGCACAGCATAGACCGACTGTTCAGAGACAAGGTCTGCAGGCCTTTATGTGTATGAAAGTGAGCAGGAACACATAACTTGCTTGTCTGAAACAGATAAAACTAAACTAATGCAACTCACTCCAGAGGTTTCTTCAATATTAGGAAAGGAAAACCCAGGGTTTTTCATTTTTTAAAGACATTAATGAAAAAGGATATAAAATACAATTACATACTGAAGTTCTTTTAATTTAATTCTTGAGGGCTTGGACAAAAAAAAGTGAATGAAAAATGCCTGCTGAAATAAATGAGGATGCCTTTATTAAGACATACGGCAGCAGCAACTATATCACGGAAGAAGAATATCTGAAATAAAATGTCTCATTTTTTTATTGATTTTTTTTATTACTTACAAATCCATGAGTGACCTTTCACTTTGTCAACAGCTGTACGTCTTGTTCTACCCCCATTTCTCTCTAAAGGACAGTTTGCAACACTAACAAATAACACAGCCGTCCACCAGCCCTGTCACCTATTCACGGGCATAACTTCAATTCAGGAAACCACTCTTTAAGGTCAACGCTCATTATTTAGTTTTGGGCGGATCTGGATCTCCAGAAATTTAAAATGGTTCAGATTTGTTCACTGGATTATCTATGATTTAAAACCATTCTATTGCTAGAAATGTATAGAAAAAATCTAAATGTTTTTTTATTGAGAATTTGGATGTTTGAATTTTTTTGGAACAAAAAGACACTCCTGGAAATGCAGACTGCAGCGACACAGGCATGGAAATAACATTCAACTGGGCAGCATCTGAGCTGCAAGGGGCAATATAGGGAATTTCAGTGCCTTTTGCATTGATTTGAGCCCCCAGTTGCAGAGTGTGCAACAAAATCTGATGAAGGACAGGCCCCCATGCACTTCATTAGAAGCAGACAAAATGACTTAAAATGCTGTGGAATTGAATTCTAATCTTTTAATTATTTGTACACAATGGTTAAACCTGCCCAAAGTTTCCCCTGCTACATCTGTCATCTATTGCAGATGACCCCCAAGCACTGTGACAATCAAGCTCCTCTGTACACTGCTTGTGGACACCCCTAGACCTTGACTACACATAAACTGAATCAACCTTTACTCATTCAATAACATGGTACAGCCTTTCAGAGTCTGGAGATGCAGCTGTTATGCAGGATCATTGCTGTCCACAAATGCAGAACAGAAATGTTAATCTTCCCTTTGTGTAGAACTGAGAATTTAGCTACCACAGGCATTAACCTCTAGCACCACAGCAACTAGTGTGCCAATGAGGAGGAAACACTGGGCCAGTCAGGCCGAGGAGCTAAGGCACATTTACAAAACAAACGACATGATTTGAGTAGGAACTGAGGAACTGTTAGTTAAGGGGGGATGAAATTGAAGGGGTGAACAAAAGGTTATTCCATTATCCCAAAAAAATTTAAATAAAAAGCCATTTCTCCCAAACGAAAAGCTGCCTGGAATTGACCAAACAGTGGATATTATTTATTCTCGCCCTCAGTGGGCATAATGGCCTGCATAAATAGCTGCCTCCCATCGCATTTGACTTCACATAAAAAATCTTGAACCCTTATAACCGTTTTTGAAAGAACACAAATTTTCCATTCGCAATACAGTCCACACTGCTCATTGAGTAGGTAATACTGTTATAGACTTCCAGCAGCACGAGTTGGTTAATTCTTTCTTTTGGTTGTACATTTTTAATGGTCTTTCACAGATAAAATATTATGGTTTAAATGTATCTGACTGTCTTGGAAAAGGAAGGTTAGCCTGTCAGCAAATGTTTTGCTCTTATTATAGATGGTACAAGCCTGTTGTGTGCTGAGCAGTCCTACAGTGCTCCAGTGAGGGGTGTGTTCATATTTAAGAGGGCTGTACACTAGAGTATCAAGCACAGGAATTGTACTTGCAGTATAACTGCCAGAAGGCAAAGAACAGGCATGACAGATTTATAGCTTCAGTTAGAAAAGGGAGAAAAGAAAATATTTTTTTAAGAACAATTTTTACTTTACATTGTCATGGTCTATTTTGCACTATGAAGCTGTATTAGTTTTATATCAGGGGAACTTACATTTTGTACTCTCTGGTTCTTTGAGAGAAAATAATTCCTGATATGTGATACTGCATTCTTCTTGAATATTTGCAGTTTCTTACACTGCCAGAACATTTAGCGGTCATAGGCCTCAGGCACAGAAAAACCACTGGGGTGAAGTTAAGCATGTTTGTATTCATGATACAGTGCCAGCCACTTCATTCATGTAGACTCCTATAATGCACTCTCCACCAGTGATGTGAAACCATTTTAAGTAGGGAAGAGTAGCACCATTTGCAGAATACAATGTTCACTAAAGATTTATTCTGACTCTACCAGTGATTTGCGTTAGTATAAACGTCAACCTAATCCCTTGCTATTGTGTTCTGTGTGGCTCTTTCATTGTGTTATTACTGCAGTTGACAATGATGTCACTTGGTAAAATGCTTAAAAATGGTTCTGGCTATGTAAAGGTAAATACAATTTAAAAAGTTGATTTGATTTATGCAACACCGATAATTATTTCCCAATTTGAAATTGTGTCTTCTGTTGACTAATATAATTTTTTATTTACACAGACTCATCTTTGTTTTTTCTGAGTTGGCCTAGCTTACACAAATTTGACTTCTGAATGGTAAAGGTAGTGTTCTCAGAACAACAGATTAGGAAGACACGCCACACCATTGGACAGCACACATTTTTGTTCAATCATTATGATTTTTTATCAAATTCTGTCAAACACACCACTTCAACGTTATTCAGTGGATTAATTATTTTTTTCAAGGATTTAATCACATATTTAAACAGAGTAAAAGCAAATGAGATACTCCAATTCCTAAATAATTATTTTTCTCTTTGTTCACAGGGTATAATTATGAGAAACAGAAAATAATGAAACACGCTCTCTGCAGTTTAATCACCAATATAGCTGACTTGCCAAAGGCTGCCTGTTGACTGCATGTTATTAAAAGCTTAAAGCAGGTGGACTGGATGTGCGAAACCGCTTGAGAACAGCCAACACTTACCTTGAAGGTATCAATAAGACATTTTTTATGACTGTCCAAGCCTGAATGACCTTCCTGACCTCTTTAATAAGAAAAAACGAGCACAATTTTAACCCCTGCAGGAGGCCAGACTCTTGAGCCATATCACAAAAATGCAGTTTCCCAGGAAAGATTCATCTGTAGCTATTAATTTGGAGAATTTGCTATCTGAAGGCTTTCAGACAAAGCCACTTGCCCTTCCTGAAAGAAAGGCTGGAACTGATAGTGTGGTGTGATAGGAAAGAGTGATGAAAAAAGAATTGTCCGTTCTGTTATTTTCATAAAAAATATTGTAACTGCTGGAAATATATACACCTACAATATGGAGAAATCCTCAAATTACTGCTTCTAAAGGAAAAAAAAAATACTCATTACTACTATGCGTAATACAAATACATATTACTATGTGTTCTAAGAGGATATGGTAGGTGCAGTCTATACAAACCGGTGAGATACCACAATGTATCAGTGTTCCACATTCATACAGTATGTACGCAAATGTGGTTATAATAATAACACATACATAGAAAAAATAAGTTGTGATTATTACACTTTTAAAAAAACATCAAGCTGAATGTGCAGTAATTCCAGGTTAAACAAACACTGTGCAAATATGCCTTGATAATTGAGTACTATACATTTTACTGTTAAAACACCTTCGCTACAGTATATGCACAGTTTCTTAGCATAGCTCTGTCCACAAGCTTGAAGCTACAACAGATTTTTCCTTGACCTTAGGCAGATAATCTGGATCTTTAATGTTGTTTGTGTTGCCTTTCAAACTTTCAAAATCACCCCACAATATCAAAAAAAGGCATAATAAAGAATGGGCTGAAGGATCTGAGTCTGTCATTTCAAGCAGTGGGCTAAAAAAGTCCCCATGTATACTTACTGTTACCTTTAGTTTAATGGATTTTGTTTCACAATATTTTGCTTAGTGCTGTGCTGACTGTCACATAAGAACCAACCGACAGCAAAGACCACAAGCTGTTCCTCATGTGACGTGAGCCGTACGCGCTCCAAAAAACAAAGAACAAAAGTAAAAAGCTAGGTGACGTCAAGCCATTCCATGGAGAGTAGTTTCAAACAGAGAAGAGTGAGAAAGAGAGAAAGAGACGGAGGAAAGTGTATCCAATCCAATCCATGTGTCTGTGCCTACTTCCATTCTGAATCAATGCAACACAGAAATAAAGGCACCATGACACGTATATACATACATAGACATACAAAGAAACGCCAGATGATGGATGGACACACAACATAGGTCATGCCTAGGCTGCCAGTAACCAGGGATGCAGTGCATATTTACCTAGAGCTCCCAATTAAAAACTTTTGCCTTGTTGGAGTGACACATGCAGCTGAACCATTTGACAGTTTTACATCTGCTACAAGCTAGTAATGGTGAAGACTGGGGTCGACAGTGTTTTCCCCATCGGGCTGGTAGAAACAGGAATGTGTTAAAGAGGCCTCCCACTACCATGACTTCCCTCTTGCATTCACATTCAACATGGAAACATGTGAGCACTCCCCAGAAGGAAAACGCCAACACCTGGCCCTCAGGAAGGGCGGAACGAATGAAGATGTCTTCCTCGGACTTTGATAGGAGAGTGTTCTTTTTCCTACTTATGCCAACTGCAATAGCACATGAATGATACCCCCTGAACATCCTTCCCTCTCAACTGTTCTGTAATTCAAGTACAATTACTTGGAAATTGGAAGAACTGAGCTGCACCCATGTGCCTAAAGGATATCACTCATGCAGGAAAGAAACAAACGTTGAAAGCTTATTCTACATATAGACACACATAGTTCAGACCTCCACCGCCTCCAGCAATATTTATTTTTGTTTGTTGAACCATACAGATTTTACAGTGGTATATATTCTAAGTTTGTGTTATTTTCCTTCAGTTCAGGAAGTGGCAGTTCAGATTCCTTGTGAATGAACTAAAGGCAACTGGAAAGGCAACTAAATAAACTACATGATTGAAAGGGTGACTTCAAAAACAGAAGCACATATTTCCAATTTTCCAGCACTTTTTGATTAAGGGAGTACAGTATATTTTGCAAAATGTAATTTTCTAACGTATAGGCAAAATTGAGGGAATGACCAAATGGCCTTCATAAATAACGGAGAATAACATTGACCTGCCTCCTACTTGACTTAAGAGTTCAGCATTCCTTTGGCAAGACGGTTGTTAGCATTATCCAACTCGTTGCAAGGTTTCAAAAGGTGTGTTAAGGCAGTGAGGTGGTCAGTGCTTGGCTCAGGGGGGGTCATTCTGTAGGCACTGGCCATGGGAAGAAAGAGCTTGTTGGCATTTTCCTTCACCAGAGGCATCTAAACAAAGCTGCCCTTCTCGTTACAGGAAGAAGGTCTACCTTCCTACCACCCCTACACAGGTAAGTGCTTCAGAAAGTCATGGAAGTCTAGAGCAATGAAATTTGTGGGTTTCAGTAACAAGAAAAAGTGCACTTGCTGTGAAAAAAAGAAAAAAAAATCACTGCTCTTGTCTGGAATCAACCTCTTAACATAAGCACATTTGTTTTTGGTAGGATATAACACACAGAAACATGTAACTCAAAGAAAAACAACCAAAGGAATACAAGAAACGTTGGTTGAGGCATCCACAGCCAGTGAAATCTTCCCTTAAAATGGAGGCACATTATTATAATCCATTAAACTAAACACAATGGTCAGACATTTGATTACTATTTGTTACTATGGCTAAACCTTTTCTTTGAAAAAAAAAAAAGAACATCGCCAGCCATCACCTTATCATTTTCAACCTGACAGTGATCAAGAGGTAAAATTAATATTCAGTTCAGTTTAAGATGAGGGTTCAAATCAACACACCTTCAGTCCAAGACAAGAGATGTTGGGATGCATACATTATTTGTCAATGGATGTAGAAAAGATGGCTGACAACATATAATTTTAAACACTAAATTTGACTTTTCCTATGATATATTCCTGAACAGCTGCCTATAGTGAAATAAGCATTATTTCCAGGAAGGAAAAGTAATTTCTATACTGAATATTAAAAGTACTTTTCTGTGGACCACATTAACTTGATATTTTTCCTAAGGCATGACATTTTGGCAGTGTCCAATAAGCACAATTCAAACACTATGGGGGAAAAAAAGCATTTTCTTCAGCTATTTTCTGGCCATGAGCTGAGAACCTCCCTTGCTTCAGTAAAAGAAAAAAAAAAGTTAAGATTTATCGTTTTAATTTCCTGACTTGGAGTTACTTGTGCCCTTTGAGTCAAAACGAACAGCATATTTTGGTATGAATGCATTCTAGGTGTGTATCCCAACATCACCTCTCTCAGGCATCTTTAAAGCGAAAAGAGAAAGTAGAAAAAGAAGGGGTAACGTACTGGCCTGGGACGTTTTCTGTGATATCTCGTTGGTGAACGCGCCGATCCCCTTGTCGGAGATGGCTGCCAGTGTGAAGAAGTACTCAGTGTTGGCTCGCAGGCCTTCTACAGTATAAGAAGAAGTGGGGCCAAATGTTTTGACGACCTGTTCAGAAAGGAAAACATAATGCTGCAATATTATAGTAAAACCCCCTCTATCACACCCCAAATAAATAAAAAAACATCCATTAGAGAGCAAAGATAGGGCAGCACACACCTTTTTAATGTAATCCAGGTAAAACAAAATCCTATTCTACAGCACTCCTCTCATACTGCACACAGACAGGGATCAACTGCTTTATATGATCATTTCACACCGTTGCTTCAATAAGAGTGAGTGCCAAGTACTGAAGCAGTACTTATTTCAGCAGTGCCTTCTCAATGTTTTCAATCTGATTCTTCCTTGAAGGTGATTTAAAAATATTAGGTGGGTGAATGAACTGCATTCAGACAGGGAGAACTCAGCACTAGTCTTGCAATGATAAGAATCTGTTTGAAATCAGTAAATTGACTTGGATGTGCTTTTGCACGCTACGAACCACCAGGATTCTATAAGAAGGAGTAAATACTTAAGTTGGAGTAATGTATGTATATTAAATTAGTGTACCAAATGAAAGGTTTCACCAAATATTTTTGTCTGCACAAAGGTTCTGTGGGTTATTACTGTAATTAAATTGCTTATTGCACTGAAATTCAATGAAATTCAATGTTTCCTTCAAGAAATGGCTGGATGAATTAACCACTAACTACCTTACAGAATAGATGGTCAGAAAGGCCTTCTATCACTTGCCATCTTACTGCGTAAAACCAAAGATTAAGTAAAGACAATAGAAGACATATTTTATTCTCAATGCAGATGTACTACAGTATATATAGTAATACCTTGATATTTACAAATTTACCTTATTGGTTTTGAGTCTCTGGGTGGAATTTTCTGTCTACCATTTCAAACTACATTATCATAGCAATAGAAGTAAGAATTATGCCAGATACTCATTTAAAAACTATCCATACATTATTATTTCCAAAATATATTGTGCTTTTCTTCACTCCAATGTCATGTTTTACTTTACTATAGGTGAATAAAATGCAACAGAGACTTTAATACAGTATGTTGAATCATGACAGATCCCCTAATCCTGTGTTTCCCATAAGGTCTGATGTTTACCAAGTGTGAATTTATCTACCGTGGAAAAATGTAAACCTCGCAGTTGACAAGGGATTACTATAATTTTAAAAGAACTGACAGAGAAATGCAAGAAAATGAGAAGCAGATATTGGAGCAGAGCACCATTGTCCTTTGATGTCTAGAGCCACAAAGACATCAAAAGGAAAAGTAAAACTGCTTTACCTCGGTTCCAAACTTGCCCTCTTTGTAGTGCAGCTCATAGGTGATGATCCCTTCCTTATCATAGGCTGGCTCCCAGGTCAGCTCAATGCTATTGGCAGAAACTGCTCCTACTTGGAATTTAGCTGGCTGTCCCGGCACTTGTATAAAGCATCAAAAAATAAAAAGCTCCATGTTAATCATGAAAGTATCCTAATGTATGCTAGGCTCATATAGCTGCACAGTTAAAACTTCAAATTAGCTGCACCACCAGAATACTGATAATTGTTGTAAAAATGCTGAATTTATTTGTATTTTGCTTCATCCTGTTTCTTTTTAACAGCAACAAACCCATTTGGATACTCTGAAAAGCTTATCAAATAAAAATCTTCTGTAGTCCACACAAAGATTTCCGCCTCATACACAACACTATACAAATATAAAGCATACACGCATGTACTGTATAAGTGTATGCACACATAAGTACATACATGTATATCTTCATGTAATTATATAGAAATACAAGATTCTTTTTTCTTTTTTCCACCCAGGATTGTACTTCTCCCCTGTATGATTGCCTGTGCTCCTTATTTCCTGAGTTGCACGAACACAGAAGGCAGCTGCTGCTCTCACCTCCCTGCAGGACCTTCACGTGAATGGGGTCGGAGAACGGGCCGTCTCCCACAGAGGTGAAAGCCAGCACCCGGATCGTGTACGTCTCGGATGGCACCAGGCTCTGCACGGTGGTGATGACGCTGTCCTGCACGTTGTGTATCTGCCAGAGGCTCATGGGCTTGGAGGGGTCCATGGTGTAATACACGCGGTACCCTTTGATCTGCCCATTAGGCTCCTCGGGCTCGTCCCACCTCACCATCATGGTGTTTGGACTAATGATGCGGGCCTGGATGTTGCGTGGAGGGCTGGCAGGGGCCTGTTCTCCTGTGCGGGCCTCCACAGGTTCGCTGGGGGGACCCTGACCGATGGTGTTGACAGCAGACACTCGGATCTCGTACTCGGTGTTTGGGCTAAGCCCTCCGATGCTGTAGCGGGTGGTGGTGATGCCATCTACGGTCTCAAACTTGCTGTCCACCTGCTTGCCGCGGTACTGGATGATGTAGTATGAGACAGGGTCAGGGTTGCCTGAATCCCAGGTGATGGTGATACTGGTTGCTGTGGTTTCGGTCACAATAGGAGTCCCTGGAGGCTTAGGCAGTGCTGGGGTGAAAGAAGAACATAGAAAATGACATTATCCCCAAAAGGGATTCACACATGGCAAGAACAAGCCCCATATGGAACTGCGACTCTTCCTGAGCTCAATTCCTTTTCATTTTCCTGTAATACAGCCTTAGGGAGAAACAACTGTTTAAAAACACTTTTCTATAACACTGGATTTAGATTGGCTGATACATGTTCAGAATGTGCCTTCTTTCTAAAGAAACAGAATGAGAAATAAATTATTATTTGTAAGAGAAATAAAACTTAAATTATTAAAAACAGAAAGGCTTTCTAAACTTGAGCTACAAAATTAAATAGCAATAAAAAATAAATCATCCACATACAGCTTACTAATATGCAAAAACTTCAGCTATCTGTAGGAAAGTATCATTTATGTTTTTACTAGATCCTGTCAACTGGCTTGCTCAGTAAATAAAAGGAAAGGAACTCCTTTTCTACAGATTTGCAACTATTCCAGAAAAAAGAGGTTTCCAATGCGCAGACTGATCTTACACTTGACAGTGATCTGTGCTACAGCCTCAATGACGCCAAGGCTGGACAGAGCCACGCAGGTGTAGTTGGCAGATTCCCTGACACTGTTCAGCTCCAGTACATTACGTCCTACAGGCATCTCGTCTTCTGGAGTCAGGTCTTCGGCTCCCAGCATCCACTTGACGTAGGGCATGGGGGAGCCCACCGCCACGCAGGTGATGTTGACACTGCCCCCGGGCATGATCTCGTGACTGGTGGGCATGATGGAGAATCTGGGTGGCACCCGGCGGACTGGCAGGGAGAAAAAGAGAAAGGTAACAAAACAAGCAGAGGAAAGTGAGCCGTGTTTTGAGGGTGGCCCTAAAAACATAAAATTAAAAACAAATTAAATCAATAAAAAACTAAACTAACAAAATTGCTTCACCAACAATAAATATTGACATTAAAGCAACAATTCATAGCAACAAGGTTCCATTGACCAATATTTGACCCATCACAGCACATTTAAATACACAAAAATCTATTACTAGTTTCTCATCTTTTTAATTCCATTATTCATTGCTTTATTAAACATCTAAATCAGGACCACCCCACTTCTTAGAAAGACCTAAACGATAATATGCCATTATCATTATCATTTTGTACCAACACAGTCTACTGCCACACAGCACCAGAAAGTTCCTTCACCTGAAACTTCGCATCCAGCCAGAAATGGGCATTCAGTTGGGCTGGCCCTTGGACAGGAAGTGGTGTCAAAGGAGTGCCTGATGTTGTGTGTTCTGATTCCTTTCTACCAATCATCCCCACTAACAGGAGTGATCTTCTGTTGTTAACACATATGCAAGTAAGCAGACTTGTGTTTTAATCTCAGAGCTGCTCACAGAATGATTTGCTTGCTATCCCACTAGGACTAAAGATGAGAAACTTTAATCAAATTTTTGTGGTTCAGGGTAGATTGACTGGACAAAGCCGTTTTAGATCTGACACGGTTCCATTGATAGATGCAGCTATCAGTTCCACAGACATCATGCATAGTAGGTAAAATAAACAATAAAAATAAGAGAGAAATAGAGATAAAATGCATAGAGGAATATAACTGAAGGGTCGCTAGCATGCCCAGACGAAGATTGGAGAGAAAAAGAGAAAGAAAGGAAGGAGGCTGGGGAAGAAAGAGAGAGGGAGTGGGAAGAGGGAGGAGGGGAAAACCCACTTCAATGCTGTTTTAAGTTTTTTTTTTCCTCCAGCTGATGTGACCCAATGTGACTGGAGCACATTGTCACATCACACCCTGGCAGAGTAACAGAAAATAAATACATATAGAAAGTAATGCTAGAAATAGTAATAGTACTTGTAGTCATAAAATAGCATACCATAAACAAACAAAAGAAGAATAAAATGGATAGAAAATGCTTGACTACATTTACAAAAGGTTGTGCATCTCTGCTCCAGAGAAGTAGATGCAGCTTTCAGACCTAAGCAGGGGAATAGAAATGGCCGGGCGTGTGATGGGAAGGCTCATGGAGGCACATTTACACGGCTCTGGCAGGCCAAGAAACTCTCCCAGGTGTTTATCAGGTGACAGTCTCACACTTCGCTTCTGCAGGCTTGCAATCACCTGCTCCTTACAGGAGATCTAACATCCCCACTCACATCACCGGGGACAGGACTACGCGTGAACAGGTTTGTCTTCTCACAGGATTACTCTGTACTGGCGTGGTAATTAAAAAGAACAGAAGGAGGTTGTGACCACAACTAAATCAATATTTCAGGTAGCCTTAGAGCTTCAGATTTTTTGTCTCCAATTTGTTAAAAACATTAATTGAAAAATTCAGTTGTACCATATTTTGAAACTGTCAAATAATCAAATTTTCATTTATAGTCGTGTATCTACCAACATACTGTACATGTTTTCTATGTCCTCCTATATACATGTCTATAAAAACACTATTCAAAGAAATAAGAGCAAAAACATTTTTCATCACATTGTATAGCATTGTTCTTTCTCATAAACTAAACCTGCTCTAAAACCAGACTTCTTCTGATTAATTTTTGAGTTAGATTTGGATTCTGACCATTTTTTATTTCATGCAAAAATACAATTTTTTTAAAAGCAATCAATCTACTTCTTTTGGCAATAGTTAAAAGAGCTGTTATAGGATGGATCATACCTCCCACATTTCACTGCAGAAGGGTCTTCCAGACAGACTCTAATGCTCAAAAACATCTAAAACCGTCTTTCCCATATTTCCCTTTGGAATTATTATTTATGGGGCTAATCAATCAATTAACACTTAAATATTAATTTAATTTAAAAAGCAAAGCAATTGAGGAAATACCCTTTCTTTTGCGGTTAACGTGCACAGAGCTGTGTAAAATCATTGATGTCTGCGTCAGAGGTGAGAGGCAGGTAAAGAAGGAGCTGGAAAGTGTCTGGGGGGAGGTGAGGTGGGACGGACTCGTCATGCAGACAGATTGAATGTAAACAGGTGGAGGGGGGGTCAGGAGGGGGGTTAGAGACAGACAGACGGACTGGGAGGACAGGAGACGCACACACAAGACAAGAGGCAGAACAAGACGCAAGCAGCAAGGCGGCAGACAGGACAGCTGACTCAATCCACTCACGCCGAGAAATACTCATGTTGGGGGAGGGGGTGCAGGGAGAGGGAGAGGGAGAGGAGAGAGAGGAAGGAGACTGTGATTTCCAATTAAACAAAAGAAATTAAAGCATGTTTTCAGTGGGTACTCGGTCTCACACATCAGGGCTTGAAAGGAGATCACTCTTTCTCTCTTGGTCTTGTGGACAAGAACCGAGTCGCACAGTAAAATAAACCCTGAATGGGTTTCAGTGCTCAGACTTCATGTTCTTCTGACAAAGAAAGTGGATTTTAAAAATAACATTCTTTGGATCTCTGTTTGAAGCAGATACAGAATACATGGAAATTGATAGGTACAGTATATAGAGTACAAATTGTGTGTCAAAAAGAAATTTAATAGTAATAAACTTTATTTTATGTAGCACCTTTAAAAGTAGCTTCTCAATGCCAAGTCACACACATTAGGCAGCATCGCTTCACATTATATATCTATCCCTGTTGTATATGGTTCACCAGCTTCCTTTCATCTACAGTGCGTAGCTGAGCAATAAAGTAACACACTCTGTCCTTTAAAATGTTTTAACCCCAACTGTGTCAACACACTTTTGAAACGGAAGAACTCTTTGTGATTTCACTTGTATAGAATATACATGTTTTTAACAAAATTAAGTGCATCATGAAACCAGCAGCCCTTTTTACTCAAATTTCAAAGCTGTGTGATTTTTTTGTGCTGCTGAATTCTCAATAAGACAGTTTTTTATTTGATGTGATATTTTTTATTAGTGATCATTTATAACTGGTCTTAAACCAACCAAAAATTTATCTTACATCATTTTCTTACTCTGATTTTAAAACTTAAAAGTAAAAAGCCAGTAAAAAGACTAGACTCTTTAAATACATCTGGACAAATTTTGATGTCCAGATTTAAAATGTTTTTTTTTCATCATTTCTCAAATCACTCAGGTTCTATGATAATATGAGTTAACATTCCAATAAAAGTCAAAAACACCTTCTTAATTCCATTTAAATGAAGTTAAAGTGAAAACATGCATAATATATGCATAATATTTAAAGACATGTTGAAAGACTACCTGGCATAACCTGCTATCATACCTGTACAAAAGGCTATACATGCCTAGGTCAGGACAAAAGCTTGACCCACTTATCATAAACAAATCATTACTTTGTAGCAGAGTCTTTATTGCTTATATTGTTTGAAAAACAACCATAAATGAATGCATGTAGAATTTATAATTGTTGGGTAGCTCAAAATGTGTTTTCATTCAGACTGGCGTAAACATCCACCTTTATTGTATTAGTTCCTTGTTGTTTCCTTTAAATTTAATAACAGAATGTGTGATTTAATTGCAATGTTTGCCATTTCTTTGAATGATCCGTTAATGGTGGCTGTATCATTTACTGGAACACTTTAACTGCAATACTGGCCCCTGAATGGGGAGTTCAGAAAACAGGCACGTTGGAGTGTTTCTGCGGTGGAGGACTGACAGCACTTTGTACAAGTTCTTGTAAGAGTTGCATTAACAGGAGGTGAGCAAGCTAACAGGGTTGCTCCAATAAACCTGAGTCACCTGTGGTGTGACAGGTGGACATTTTCAGATACATACAGTACTCAGTTAGTGGGAAACATCTCAGGGCTGCTTGGTTCTTCTTATGATGTTTTGCCTCTTCACTGAGAGCGGCTATAGATGTTACTCATTTATGCAGGTAACTTATATTATTTCAAAGGCCATCCAAATGATACATCTTCCTCGTTTTGAGGAGACAATCAGCTTCTGGTAGTTTGGGATCAATGTTAATGAACCTGCTAGAGAGCATGACTCTGGGCGTAATAATTGGGCTTCAGTAATTGAAAGTGCAGTAACAGCATTTTATTACACTTAGATTCTATATAGCCAACACAAATGCACAGGCACCTGTGTCAGCTGGGTTTGTGATTATTCTTCATAATATTCCTAGTATATTGATGAGCAATAGTTCAATCTTAAACTAGTGCACCATTTATAGATGCCAAATGTGTTCAGAAACAATATTCCATTCAATAGCAGATATGGCATTGAGTGATCTCATATTTTAAGTTATACAATTCCTGGACACAAATGCTTTTACTTAAATATCTATAGTAGAGTTTAAGGATTAGCTGTATCTTCATACAGCTGAAATGGCTTTCAGACCAACATCACTTTGTTATCAGATATTGCTTAAACATTAAAATGCAAAGACATGTGCAGGATGCATGTGCTGTAATAGACTGTTCATAATTCTGTTTACATTCTATGTTGCAGCTGCTGATTCCTTTAATACGGTCATGGTCAGATATAGAAATCTGTGTCTTAGTGTTTAATTTGGCATTGGCACTGCTAGGGTTAAGGGATACATAGGACAGGGCCCAGCTAAAAACAAAAATCAAAATATCTCACTTAAAATAACGACAAATAAGAAAAACGAACAACAGTCAAACAGACAAAGAAACTGATCCTGTTCAAATTGATTCCTTCCTAGGAATTTATATGACAACAAAGGTGAAAGGTCAGCCCATTCCTTCACACAGTGACATGCATGGGTACCATTGCTCTATGAGGGGTGACAAAAATAGAGTAGGGTGCAACCAATGCAAGGCTGATACAAGAACAAAATAGAAAGATACAGTATACGGGTACAGTCGAACAAGTCACCCAA